TCTTTTATTTGGTTTAAGAGTGTTTTATTTTCATATTTAGCACATTTAAAAATATTCTTACCTGTTATAAAGTTAACTGTTTTCCCCTTTATAATTACCTAATTTTTCATAGGACAATACTTTGAAACTCTGCAAATATTTTAATTTTCTTGTATTTTCACCTAGATCCATTGTTAATTGTTGATGGTTGTTATTACTACAGTGTATATAAAATCACATTTTCTGTTCCAACTCTGATGTTAATTCATTGCAGTCCTTTTCGTTATTTTACTAAAATGTTCCTCACAGCATAAGCAGACCTAATTACAAACAGGTTGTGTCCCTAAGTTTGTCTTTATGCCGTATTTATATGTAAATTGGTTGTTCCAATTAATCAAATGTTCATCTTAGTATATGATATGTGATATATTTTTCTATGCATCAGAAGCATTAAAGAAACAGTTTAAGGTACAGTAAAATATCTTTGACCCGCTCTTTATGTTAAGTGGCCTTAAATCATTTCAGACCAATAGCGATATTATATAGGGTTTCCAAGGGGCAGCTATTGACCTTGAACCATATATCATCTCATTGCCATGGTTACAATCCCCTCCATGCAATCCTTCCCGTGCCCCCCAGGTCTTCAGCACACAGCCCCTCTCCCTCTCTGGATCTAAAGTTTCCAGCTGCTCCCTCACTCCATGTCATCATCTCTGGCTCCATTTCAGGCATCATTGCTTCTCTGGGTAGGGTCCTGCTCTCTGCTCTTCTCCCATGATGGTCCTAGGGACCTGTGTTCCTAGACAGAGGTAAATAATGATATATGCAACAGCAGAATTCTGGGATACAGAGATGGATCCATGGTTGGAATGTGGAAAAGGGAATAATGTTAAGATGTTTGGCTGTCTTTTGAATCTTGGTTTTCCTTGCATTATATTATAAAATAGACACTGGAGGGAGAGAGAAAGGAATAGCGAAAAGCGTCCCATAGAAAGCTTGTAAGTCCGTCTTCTGCCTATAACTGATTGGAATACCTAAAATAGGGCTAGAACGTGCCCAGTGAAGGAGGCTTACTGTGGAGCCTCTACAATACTAGGTGGAAGCCTGAACCACATCTTATATAGTCTTAATAGATCATCCATCACAGCACCCCCTGGTGTAAAGGAGTCTCCTAGGCTGTCATCTATTGTGTCACTATATACTCTTAAACATCATCCACTCACAACACCCCCTGGTATAACAGAGGAGAACTGCCCCATAGGGTTTCCTAGGCTGTCACCTATTGTGTAACTATATACTCATATAAACTCTTATAGATCATCCACTCACAGCGCCCCCTGGAGTAATGGATGAGAACTGCCCCATAGGGTTTCCTAGGCTGTCACCTATTGTGTAACTATGTACTCATATAAACTCTTATAGATCATCCACTCACAGCACCCCCTGGTATAACAGGAGAACTGCCCCATAGGGTTTCCTAGGCTGTCACCTATTGTGTAACTATATACTCATATAAACTCTTATACATCCTCCACTCACAGCACCCCCGTGAGACAGAGGAGCATTGCCCCACCTCAAGGTCAGTTTGACCACGAGGCCGGCAGTTCAAACTCTCCAGCCGCTCCTGGGAAACTATATAAATGGTCGCTGTGATTGGAACCGACTCAGGCACAGCATTACTACCATAAATAAGCAAAAGATTTTGAAGAGTCTCATTTTGTGCTTTCCGGAATGGATTCCCTTAACAGACACAATTTCGTTTCAATACTTCGAATGCATTGTTGTGTGTCTTGGTGAAGATTCATTTCTTAATTTCTTTAGGTAAGCTACAACCTTAAAGATTCCAGTCAACTGATGATGATTCATAAGAGACAAAGACGTGTGCAAAAAATGCCCTTAGTAAAGCCAGACCGAGAGATCAAGTGTTTGTATGGGTGTGGTGCATGGATGTAAGGGTATGTGTCGTGTGCAGGGACATGTCTGTTGAGTGTATGTGTGTGTCAGTGTGATGAGTGCAGTCTTGATTTTGTGTGGTATGTTCGGTGTGTTCGTGTGTGGTAGGTATGTCTATAGGTATGATGGTGTGTGTCCATGTTGTGTATGGTGTGAGCATGTGGGTTGTTTGATGCATGATGGGCATAGTGGGGTCTATATGTATACTTTTGTTGTTCAGTCGAGTCGGTTCTGACTCATAACCACCCTTTACAGGGTTTCTGCCCGGATCTCCTCCTTGGTGAAGTGTATGTTCATGTCATGTGCCCATTTTTTAATTGGGTTATTTGTCTTTCTTGTAGAGGTGTTAGTTTCCTGTGTATTTTAGAAATTAGTCCCTTGTTACTCTTCTGGTGAAGTCTTTTGATGCACATAAGTTTTTAATTTTCAGTATGTCCCAATCATCTATTTTGTCTACTTTTGATTGTGTAGTTTTCAAAATGTTTTGTAGTTATGTATTTCCTGAATTAGTGCCCTCACATTTGTCCCTATTTTTTCATTGATGGCCTTTATAATTCTGGGATTCATTCACATTTAGGTCTTTAATCCGTGTTGAGTTGGTTTTTATATAAGGTGTGAGGTGAAGGTCTTGTTTCAATCTTTTGCATATCACTTTCCAGTTCTGCCAGCACCATCTGTTGAAGAGACTATCACCTCCCCATGAGATATATTTAGGTGTTTTGTCAACAATCAGTTGGCTGTATGTAGATGGGATCATTTCTGGATTCTGTTCCATTGATCTATGGATCTTTCATTGTACCAGTCGTACAGGGTTTCTAAGGAGCAGCTGGTGGGTTTAATCCCGCGACCTTGTACTTTGCAGTCCAAATGTATACTTCCTGTTGTTAAGTACTGAGGAGTTGGTCCCAACCCATAGCGACCCTGTATAGAGTTTCTGAAAAGCAGCTGATGAGTTTGAACCACCAACTTTGCGTTTCAAACCGACCTTATGGCCCAGTGCTGATCCTACAGCGCTACACAAGGACTCCAAGTACTAGGAAGCTTTAAAAGGTTCAGAGGGAAAATCCCTTTATATTTAATTCCATTTTTCCATGATCTTAACGAAACCACCTCTTATTTTCTGTCTATATGTCACTTGTGTGTGATATGTGTGCATGTTTATATGTTTGGTATATTTGTGGGTTTCTGTGTCTTCCTGTTGTCTTTGTGTCACGTGGGTGGCATGTGTGAGTGTGTGGTGTGTGAGTTTGTGTGGTGTGTCTGGTAGTAAGTTTTCGTATGTGTGGTGTATGCGACCCTGTGGTTTGGAGATGGTGTTGAATGTGCGATGTGTGATGAAAGTCTTTGTGTATAATGTGTGTGGGGGGAGTGAATCTGAGGGTGTGCCGTGTGTGTGTGTGTGTGTGTGTGTGTGTAGTGTGATTTTCTGAGCCCCGACAACAAACGCACCAGCGTGCATCCCAGTCTGCGCCTCCCTGATGGGGTGTGAGCAGGAAAAGACTCATAGGCCAGGGGAGGTATCCGGGAAAGAAAAGAGAAAGCAAGAAGAAAAAGCGCAGGGACCACCACACACCCCACCTGTGCATGGAGCACCCAAGTGCCCAGGAACAAGGGCTGTGGGAATGGCATTTAGTGCCCAGGACCGCCTCAGCAAGATGGCAAGTCTGCTCCCAGGATTTGGGGCGCACCGTCCTCCTCAGACTTAGGGAGCAGAGTGCTTCCTCTTTGCCAATTTGGATGCCTTTGTTTCTTTATCATTCCGTATAGAACCACAAGACCACACAAACTTGCAGACCTTACCCATTTGACCTTGCTTTAATGGCTTCATGATCAGAACTCAACTATAGGAAATTTTGAAAGAAAAAAAAAAGTTTTTATAAAGGACTCATGTGTAAATTTGATGAACTTGACCTATACTTACAGATATAGTAGCTCAAAATACCAACTGAGAGGAAAGGAGTTTTCACATCAAGGATCAATCCTATCTCCTCTGCACACAGGGTTGATAGGAACAGGCAATTTACACATTGGCTACCTAAAATGGGGGTGGGGTGGAGGCTATAAAGGAACGAAATAGCTGGCTTACAAGTTTGCAAGAAGGAGTTTCTTTTCAGAGTGTGTGTGAGAAAGTAGAGTCCCCCACCGAATACTGCTTTAGTGTGCACAGCAATAAAACCCCCATAATTAGAGGGAATAGAAGCAAATACTGTTGAATGATGAGGCACAGAGGGGATTGTAATCATTGCAATGAAACGAAATTATCTTAGAATGAGTGTAAAACCGATGTTCTCCCATGTAAATT